GGGAAGGGGGAGGCCATGCTGAAGCAGTTACGGTATGTGCCACCTTTAGAAGGGTTTCCCCAGGCTTGACCCATTGGAGGTCCCCAAGAAGGAAGGGAAGATCTACTTAATATTTAGGCAATTGATATCCCTAAGGGTGACTGTCCAGAGCCTCCCATGACATCGGTAAATAAAAGTGAGAGCGACCCTCCACATAACAGTGAGCCCTTTTCAGACTGGCAGCAGTGTAAGCAGAGGAACTGAAGCGAGGTAGCCATCTCACAGACACCCAGGTTTAAGTACCGTAGATGGAAAAGACAAACCAAAGAGGACAAAGATGCCGGGCTGCCTGGCACAACAGGCAAATTACAGAAGGAAGCTGTGTGGAGGGAGGAGGGCTCCTTTGAGCCCACAGATACCCTCCCCTGTGCAGGTCTGGCCGCTTAACATGGACGCTTTAATTCTATGGCTTGTTGTTAAGGATAGTCCAGATCAGTCTCTTCTTTAAAAATACCTTAGGTTACCACTTATTAACTATGTAGTCTGTGCCACATGCCTGCAATCATTTAATCTAATCCTCACAACAAACCTATAAGGTGAGTAGCAGGGCTCCTATTTCATAGATGAGGAACCCACATGAGAGTCCCAGACTGTGTAAGTAGTAAGTAGCAGATCAGGATGTAAAGTTAGCTCTATTTCTTACAGAGTCTATACCCTAACTCCCTTTCCCTCTATGTATACATATGTGTGTTTTGATATGTATGTATATATATATAATATGCACATACATATGTGCTTTTAATATATATATATAATATGCTCTCAATATGTATATATGTCATATATATGTATGTGTGTACACACATCCACTCTTAATATATGACATATAAATCCAAATAACTCTCTTTTTTAATTTATCTTTATTGTTGAAAGTATTTCAGATGTCCCATTTTTCCCCCCATTGATCCCCGCCACCTCACTCCCACCCCCTCCCAAGGCCTTCACCCCATTATTGTCTGTGTCTATGGGTTATGCATACGTACATATAACTTCTTTGGTTAATCTCTTCCCACCCTCCACCCTCCTACCCTCTTCCCTCTGAAATATGAAATTCTGTTGCATGCTTCAGTGTTTCCGGATCTATTTAACTTGTCAGATTCTTTTGTTCATTAGCTTCTTCTTAAAGGAGACTCTTCTACATTTCCTGTAGTGCTGGTCTGGTGGTGATGAACTCCTTTAGCTTTTTCTTATCTGTGAAGCTCTTTATCTGACCTTCAATTCTAAATGATAGCTTTGCTGGGTAGAGCAATCTTGGTTGTAGTTCCATGTTTTTCATCACTTTGAATATTTCTTGCCACTCCCTTCTGGCCTGCAAGGTTTCTGTTGAGAAATCAGCTGACAGTCGTATGGGTGCTCCCTTGAAGGTAACTAACTGCTTTCCTCTTGCTGCTTTTAAGATTCTCTCTTTGTCTTTAACCTTTGGCATTTTAATTAGGATGTCTTGGTGTGGATCTCTTTGGGTTTCTCTTGTTTGTGACTCTAAATGATTGGAATTGTAAGTCTATTTCTTTCCCCAGGTAGGGGAACTTTTCTGTCATTATTTTTTCAAATAGGTTTTCAATTTCTTACTCTTTTTCCTCTTCTTCTGGCACCCCAATAATAAGAATGTTGGGCCTCTCGAAGTTGTCCCAGAGGCTCCTTATGTTATCTTCATATTTCTGGATTCTTTTTTCT